TGCCAGACTAGAGTCAAGCTCAACAGGGTCTTCTTTCCCCGCTGATTCCGCCAAGCCCGTTCCCTTGGCTGTGGTTTCGCTGGATAGTAGGTAGGGGCAGTGGGAATCTCATTCATAATTGGCAATCATTTTTAAGGAAATGTGATGATCATATTTCATGGTCTTGGATTTCAATTCTTTAATACTAGGTGGGATCTGGAGATGCATAAATTAATTAGCAAGAAAGTAAGTGCTAAACACACCCCTACTTCTTCACTAAGTGGGCCTCAGATAAATGCTTACCTGAGTAAATATGATCTTTTCTTCCAAGTCTTCCTTTTTGTCCTGTTCCACCTATTTTCCATTCCTCGAACATGTAGAGATCTATCTGCCTGCTGCTTAACATCAGCCTCTCCAGTTGAAGTGAACAAGCAAAGACTAGGTGAGGCAGAGATGTGGCAGGCCAGCAGCTTTTGGGCTTTTCTCCAGCTGTTATTTAAGGGAGTCAGCTAGAGTCAAAAGAGAACAGAGGTGGGAGAACAGTTCTTGATGTGTGATAGCAGCGCTGCTACCCACTGTCGTCATCACCACTACACATAAAAGAGGTGATAAGACAGGGAACAAATCTTTTAGCCCTTTCAGCATTGAACTGTTTTACTTGGTTGAGAGCTTAGAGTTTTGTTTGGCTTTAGAATACTATTTTTATGTCAAGTTCTGAGTGGAGCTCTGCATTAATTTTGTCTCTGTTCAACATGAGAGTGGGAGGATCCAATTTCTGTGGTACCGTGTTCAACCCGTATTCGGATATTGATCATTTTGATATATTTTAAAACAGAGAATTAGTCAATTAACTAAACTAATGTTTATTGAGTACCAACTATGGGCAAGTTACTGAGACTGGGATTGGGAATATATTGATAAGACATGTCCTTGACTTGAAGAGGCTTATGATATAGTAGCCCAGAAGGTACATACACAGGTATAATACACTAAAAAATAGGGCCCGCAGCAATAAAGGTTTCCACAGCTTGCTATAGAAGCTTTCAAGGGTGATAGTTCATGCTGGAAACATCTCCAGTCTTGGAGCAGGTGATCTTTAAGCTGAAGTTTGAGAGCTGAGAATGTGCCACCCAGGTGAATGAGGTAAGCAAAGGGTGCAATGAATGACTTGGAAGAAGATGGCACAGAAAGATATCTGGAGAACTGTAAAGAATTCACTGTAGCTTCAGAATGATGTGCCAGGAGAGGTAGGAAAACCAAGGCCAGACAGATTGTCAGGGACCAGACCCTGAGGAGCCTTGAAGGTTTGAAGATGTGTTTTCAGGTGATCTCTCTGGCTAGAAGTGTAGAGTGCAAGTTGGAAGAGTAGACACAGCAGAGAGGAGCCTGTTGAGTTTTGCAGTGACATACTTGAAAAATGAACCCCTGGCAGTGGGGATGCAGGGAGGGAAGGGTGCAGAGACTCTGGATGTGGTGAGCAGTGGTGAGATAGGCAAGAAGGATGAAAGCCAGCGTTCTATACTAGCCACTGCATGAGCTGCAGTGCCTCTCCTCTGAGATCGGGTATATCTGAGGAGGCACAGGTTCTGGGGGAAGGTGATAAGTCTTGGGCTTGATGAGATGTAGGTGGTTGAGACAGATCTCCCTGGCTTCAAAGGTCATGTTCTTCTCTCTAAATTATGTGAGTATTGTCACTGAAACCAAGAGGGAGAGAGAGCATCAGGAGGCATTTCATGCATAGTGCCAATGCTGTAGGATATTCAGCTATTAGGAAGTCATTAATGACCTTGGCAGGAGCTGTTTAATTGGAATCTTGGAGGTAGTTGGCAGTAACATCAGTGATGATGTGGGAACGATATATCAGCAAGTGTAGACTCCTCTTTCTGTAAACATGGCTGGGAGAGCAAGGAATAAGATCTGGATTATGTTTTGTTTTGTTTTGTTTGATACTGGGGATTGAACCTGGGCCTTCTCACTGAGTTACAACTTCTGGTCCTCCTCCTCCTTTTTTTTTTTTTTTTTTTTAAGAGAAGGTCTTGCTAAGTCACTATATTGCCCACTCTGAGCTTGCAGCCCTCCTGCAGGGAGGGCTGGGAGTTTCCACCAGAAAGGCTCAGGGAGGCCACAGGGTCCTTTCTGGAAAAGTTGTTCTCAAGTGTCCCCTGGGGTAGACTACAAAGATGTAAGGGAAGCATCCAAAGGACTGGCCAAGGAGATGAACCACAGAGCTGGTGGTGATGAGACGAGGGGAAGAAGGTGATAGGACAGGTTCCTGGAGGGCTTGAATGGTGTATGGTGATCAAGGAGGAAAGAGAAATGAGACCAGGTGACATCAGCTGACCTCAGGTTTCTAGATGTTTTGGTGGAAGTAAAGGCAGAAGCTTCAGGTGGCATCAGCATCTTGATGATTCATTTTGTATATGTGCTGCCAAAGCAAGCACTTGATGAGTCATTTGGAAGACTGTAGGACAGACCAGTTTGAGAGAGCAGGAAAGATTAAACAAAATTAACACCACACAGAAGGTGGGAAGGGGAGTGGACAGCTGAAAATAGGAGAATGAGAAAGCAGAGGCCACAATGCTTAGAAAGGTGGCTTCTGGATACTAGAAGGGGAAGATGTGTTGTATTATATTGCCAGCAATCTATTTTCATCAGTTTAATTGATAGGTAAATTTGGATGTAACCTACATAAATCATTTTAAGTTTGAAGTTTTACAACTTGGTAAAAATTTTCCCACGTGCTTCTCACAGGTACATGTAACTACAGACATTCTATGTTTAAATTATCATATGTGAAAACCTTGGATTTTACCTTGGCATTTTCTACACATTGCTTTCATGTAGAAAATTCAAGAAGAGTCTAAGCAGGGTGGTGAGCACAGGAGTCTCTTTGTGGCTCTCCTGGCCATCCCACTTGGGTGTGTCCCAGATTTTTCAGTGTTTCCTCTACTGGGGACCTTTTTTGGCTGCAGTTGTCAGAAGAGATCCATTTTTAAGAACAGAAATCCCAGTCCTTGTATCTTTTTCTCCTTTTTTTAACTGCTATAATAATTAGAACAAGCAACTCAGAGACTCTAAAACTATGCAGAGAAATCAGTACAAAAGAATACATTTGTCCTTCCTCTTTTTTTCTTTTTTTATTAATTTTATTGGTACATTTTAGATATACATAATGATCACATTCATCATAGGGAATTTGTACCTGTACATAATATATCTTGATTCTTCTTTTTTTCTCCCAATCCCCTCCCCTTCCCATCAACCGCTCATTGCCTCCTTATTTACAAAAGCTTTGTTTCCATTTTTTCCTTTTATTCTCTCTCTCTTTTTTGTTTTTGGTACCCGGGATCCAATTTGGGTCCTTGCACTTGCAGGGCAGGCGGTGGAACCACTGAGCTAAATCCCCACCCCTCCTTTTATTCTCTTTTTTTTCTTTTCCCTTCCTTCTTTTCCCCCTCTCCCCTTACCCACCCCCCTTGTTCCCTTCCTACTTGAACATTTTCTTCCCATTTCCCAATATCTATTGTACATTTTGGGACCAGCTATTCCCCTTCTTGGTATTTTCCCAAAAGAATTAAAAGCATCATACCACAGTGATACACGCACACCCATGTTTATAGTGGCACAATTTGTAATAACTAAATCTTGGAAACAGCCCAAATGCCCACCAATAGATGAATGGATAAAGAAGATGTGGTATTTTTGTATAGTGGAGCACTACTCTGCCATAAAGAAAGATAAACTTGAAAATATAAAACTGTTTACTGACCACTGCTCACCATTATTTACGATAAAGTAAACAATATACAGTAGGATAACATTCTGACTACTACAAAGTTATTTTTCTGGCTTCTGCTGAAACAGTAACAGGAATACTGAAGATTGAGCCTACAAGTAAGGAACAAGTTGGGATCAAGAAAAACATGCAGATCAATACTTTAATTATAAGTTTGTTCACTCATTTATTCCAGCAGGTCCTAAATTGTGACCACCACTCAGTAGGTTTCCATGAGCCAAGTCTTAGACATCCATGAATCCTGACTTTGAATACAGATTTCAACTTGTTGTAAGGGAATAGGTCATGAACAATCTTTAATGTTCCCTTAACAAGTCTTCCTTAGCTAATTCAAACAAACCAGGTTGACTAGTTACCTTGTTTGGGTGGGGAAGTTGTTGGTAGTGATACACTTTTTTTTCAGGAATTTTGTAAGCAAACTGCTGTATTTTTGTAACTAAACACACAGATATGGATACTGATATCGCTGCTTTGAAAATACCCACTTTAAGCTGTCCAGTTAACCACAGAATCATCTATTTGGGCCAGGGATTTAGCTCAGTGGTTCTGGCACCTGCCTGGAAAGTGCAAGGTCCGGAGTTCGATCCCCACTACCACAAAAAAAAAAAAAAAAAAAAAAAAAACCAAAGGCATTTAAAGATAAATGGATGCAACTTGAGACCATACTCTTAAGTGAAATAAATGAGACACACATGTTTAAATACTGCATTATTCTTTCTCTTTTTGTAGCTTTCCAGCCATCCAGTCCATCTCCTCTTCCACCAGAGGGTCCAGTGAAGTCCAACAACATTGTGACTGTCACAGGGATATCCCTGTGCTTGTTCATCATTGTGGCCACCGTGCTCATCACACTGTGGAGGAGGTTCGGACGGGCCCCAAAATGCAGCACCCCTGCTCGACACAACTCTATCCATTCCCCTGGCTTCCGGAAGAACTCGGATGAGGAGAACATCTGTGAACTGAGTGAGCAGCGTGGAAGCTTCTCTGATGGGGGTGATGGGCCTGGGGGGAGTCCAGGGGACACTGGCATCCCTCTGACCTACAGGTGCAGTGGGCCAGTGACTCCTGAGGATGATGCCTCTGGCAGTGAGAGCTTTCAGTCTAATGCACAGAAGATTATCCCTCCTCTGTTTAGCTACCGCCTTGCCCAGCAGCAGTTGAAAGAGATGAAGAAGAAAGGTCTGACAGAAACCACTAAAGTATACCACGTGTCTCAGAGTCCCCTGACAGACACTGCCATTGATGCTGCAGCTGGACCCCCCTTAGACTTGGAAAGCACAGAAGAAGCAGCAGCAGCAGCAGCAGCAAACAAGTTCCGGATCAAATCCCCATTTTTGGACCCACCTGTGGTGAGTGCCGAGGAAGGACCTCCCTCCAGGCTGGATTTCAACATGTCTCAGGCCAGCTGTTCTGTCAGCCCCAGCCAGACCCTGATTCGCAAGTCACAGCTGAGGCACATGGCAAGCAGAGGGGGCTCTTCTGAGAGGAGCCATACCAGGAATTCCCACTTCAGGAGAACGGCCAGTTTTCATGAAACCAAACAGGTCCGGCCATTCCGGGAGAGGAGCATGTCCACTCTGACTCCACGGCAAGTCCCTACCTACAGTTCTAGGACACGGACCTGGGACCAGGCAGAGGACAGATTTAGGCCTCCAAGTCGAGGTGCCCACCTGCTTCCTGAAAAACTAGAACATTACCAAGGGGCAGGTGGAACCAGTGGACAATTAAGCCCTATCCCTAAATCCTACACCTTGGGGCAGCCCACAAGGAAACCAGACCTGGCAGATCGTCAGGCAGGGTTAGTGGCAGGAGTTGAGAGAACAGAGCCTCATAGAGCTCGGAGGGGACCATCCCCCAATCACAGGAGTGTCTCAAGGAAGCAGTCTTCCCCGACCTGCCCCAAAGATGGTTACCAGAGGGTCAGTCCACTAAGCCCCTCTCAATTTAGAAAAGACAAATGTCAGAGCTTCCCGGCCCATCCTGAGTTTGCTTTCTATGACAACACATCATTTGGCCTCACTGAGGCTGAGCAGAGGATGCTGGACCTTCCAGGATATTTTGGGTCAAATGAAGAGGATGAAACCACAAGTACACTTAGTGTGGAGAAGCTGGTAATCTAAATCAAGAATCTGCCTGAGATTTTTCATGATTGGGGTCCCTTGGCCAGGTTGTGATATCAGCTGTTCACATTGTTCTGTGGACTGTTTTGTATAACTGTACAGACTCTTGTAGGACAGAATGTGGGGAGGAAGTAGCTCACATAGAGGAGAATATGTGTGTGTATACACGTTTTAACTCATAAGGAAAAAATTATCCTGAATTTTCCTTTTGTTATCCTATGTCTATTGACTTGTTACTAATAACAATAATAAAATTTAAATAAGAGCAAATAGGACTTGGCCTGTCAAGTGAACATAAAAGATGATGAGACAGAAATATAGTGTACTTTGAACCCTGCCTTAACAGTTTCCCACTTAAAGCAGAAATCTAGAAGCTTCAAATACTAAGGGTTGGACTAGAGTTAATTTGGTATCACAACTCTGAATTATAGTCTTAAAAATTATAAATGCATAAATATTTGAATCCTATAGGGGCAGCATTGAACAGGTTTCATATTTTGGCTGATTACATTAATTATAACCATTGGGCCACTGAGCTACCAAGAAAGTTCCAGAAGAACTTTTTGACCAGCATTGGGTGCAATCTTAAAAGTTTTTTTTTAATGTAATAGTCCACATGACTTGACAAGTTATGTGAACTAATTTTGCCTTAGAGAGATAATGTAAGAATCTGTTCAGTTGGTAAGTCAAATGAAGACCTTGCCATCATTGTCCTGTGAAAATATTAGACATTTTGGAAAGGAAGGTATTGTGTCTTGAGAAAACATGTGCTGGAAGGTGGCAATAGATGCTGACTGGGTAACTGCCTGACTCCAGGGTGTGGATTGCGTGTTCCCAGACCAAACTTGCAGCAGAGACCCAAGAGGTGTCATGACACTGGTGAATTTGTGTATTTAAATACAACCTTATTCTGTTATTAAGAAAGTGCATGAATGAAGTGTATAAAAAGCAGGTAGACTAGTTTATGATTTTACAGTTTAAGCTTTTGTTTTTACTTGAAGAAAGTTAAAAAGGGAAGAGAGGAAAGCAATCATTTTAGAATCACTTTTGTTTACCTATTCAATCTTCCTACAACATGTTATAGATGAGGAATTTGTTTTTGTTTTTTTTAAGGAATTTGTTAACATAATTCAATAGGATAGGACTGATACTTAATTCTAAACACCATATTCTTTTCACTCTGCCATTACAGTCTTTTCAAGTCTTCTCCAATAGCAGAAGCTTCATGAGAAAGTGGGCCCTTTTTGCAGTAAGAGGGCAAAAAGTGACAGTTCTGCTAGCTTTTCCCTGATGAGATATTAGGACTGGCTTTGGAGCTTGCTTTGTTTTGAAGTAAGGGCCACACAAAAGAATCTAAAGGTGGGGCTTCTTCACTGAAGTTTGTCATCAGGTACTCCTTAATCAGCAGCCACTTGAATAGAGTACTTTCCTTTTTCACTGTGACTTCCCTAACTGCCACACCCATCCTGCCTTCTACATTGTCTTCCTTCTTTTAGGGTTTATCACTATGTCAGTGTGCTGGTGAGATTTCAGGACCACTGGAGAGAGTGGAATTCGATTGGGAAAAAATTTAAAATGCACATACTGTAGTTTTAAAAGTTTCTCATATTTGTTACATTGCCTATTCATGCCATTTTTACTGAAAATTAAAATGTAGTTTGGAAATGCTTTGATAATAACTATCTGCCTCTCAGGAATAGAGTAGATTTTCAGAGCTGTCTGACAGCTGGTATGTGCTGATATAAAGAAGAGGAAACCAGGGTTTATAATCTCCATTTTCTTTGTTTATAATTCTAGAAAGCTTTGTTCTTTTTCCAAGTTCACATGCCTGCATGGCAACCTTTGAATACATGTTCACTCATTCCAGATTTCACAGTGAATTACCCTTGGTGTCAGAATGAGACCAAAACAGCTATGGAAGATGTGGAAGTTAGAGGGAAATACTATGAAGAGAATGATTTTTCTGTTCAATTATGTTATTATTATTATTATTTACTACACCCTACATCTAAATATTACAGTGAGCCAACACCAGCATATGACAAGTTCACCATCTACTTAGCCTAGTTTTCTTAGGCTCTGGCCAAGGGTCATTTTCTACACTTCAAAATAAAACTAATTTGACCTCTCCCTTTGAGAAAGAGAAAAGAAGATGCTTCTGCATTGTCTTTGGTAGGTGAGTGGTAAATTTCTGTAGAAATAATCTTGGGCCAGGGATTTAGCTCAGTGGTTTTGCCGCCTGCTGCACAAGCGCAAAGACCTGAGTTCGATCCCTGGTACCCAAAAAAAAAAAAAAAGAAATCTTGTTTTTTTACTATCCTGTCCCTAGGTACTAGCCCTAGTGGCTGCTATAGAATGGGGTTCAATAAAGATTTGTTGAATATACAACCAGCTATTTAAAAACCTCAAGACATAGTTATGATTGAATTAGAATAATTCTATGTAACACTTTTAAATCTTAAATCACTATAAAGAAGACATGTTCTTATGTGATATTGTGGGATTTTAATATCTAAAGGTCTCCACAAATGAAAAAATTCTTATCTTTTTGGACTATTGCCCTAATTCTATGTAACACTTGAAATCTTAAACCAGTGTAAGAGGGATGTATTCCTATGAGTTATGGAATTTTAATTTCTAAAAGTATTCACCAACGAAAGGATCCTTGTCTTTTGTGGTTGTTACCCTAGCAGAAAGTAGAGTTGTCTCAGGAGTCTACTGCAGTCTTTGATACATGGTAGTCACTTGATAAATGTGTTTATCAGTTTTCTGTCACTTTATAAAATATCTGTGATAACTTAAACAGAAAAGACAACAACACAGTGCTATAGAAAGGAAGAATCAGAAAATGGGAAGAAATCTTTGGAAATAAAATATTTGACAGAAAATTGTAAGATAAATTACAGAAGGTATCCAAACTTGTAGCAAAACCCCCCAAATATGTAAAATACAAGAAAAGCACTGAAGCCAAGTGCAGTGGCAGGAGGATTACAAATTTAAGTCTGGGGCCAGAGATTTAGCTCAGTGGTTTCGCTGCCTGCTGCGCAAGCGCAAGAACCCAAGTTTGATCTCTGGTACCAAAACAAATTTAAGTCCTGCCTGGGCAATTTACTGACTTAGTGAGGCCCTGTCTTAAAAAAATTTAAAAAAAGAACTGTGGAGATACGTGAGTGCAAAGACCTGTATTAAAAAATAAAACCAAACCAAAAATCAAGAAATTATTTTTTCAAAAGATTCTACAAGAAAATGATCATACAAATATGAATCAAATTAAAATAAGACATCAGTGGGCCACAAGAAAACACTAGCCAAAGCAAAATAAAGAAAAAGAAAGTGAAGTAACCATGATTTTAAGCAATTGGCATGCATAGGGTTGTAATAATGTGATTTCAGAGAAGGAAAATTCATCACTATGAGCCATATTTCATAAAAATAACAATGTTAATGCTGCTTATTGGTTCCTGTCTGTTGGATTTAGCTCAAGGATAAGTTATAGTTAGACCTATAGACTTAATTATAGTTACAGAAGGGAAGGTTAATAATTATGGAATTGTAAGAGTGAGAGCCTTTAAAAAGTTTTAAAAGTTTTTTTAAAAGTCTTTAAAAAAAGTTTTTAAGTAGAGGCTGAAGATGTGGGTAGTGGTAGAGTGCTTGCCTGCCATGAGCAAGATCCTGGGTTCCATCCCCAGCATAGAAAAAAAAAGTTTGGATTTAGAAATAGACGTGGAAAGTCCAAGAAAATTAGGAGTCCAAATAATCTCTACCCTCAAAGTGGAGAGCCAAAATATGCTGTCTTCTTGATAGAATGTAAAATAAGGCCTCCATGAACTGCAGACAGAAGCGGCTACCACCACAGTGTTTGCCCATGGATTGCATGTCCTGGCCATGGCCACCTACCCACTTCAGGCCCACTCTGAATTTTATTTTCCTTCAGCCAAGGGACAGTAGAGCTGCTGACTGACCAGCCTGATCATGGATGAGGCCAATGCCCTGGGAGAGAAGGTAAGCCAAATAAGTCAGCAGTTCCAGGGAGTAATTGTGGGCCAGGCCAGCAGCAGTAGCCCCAGGAAAAGCCCATAGCTACTGTGAACTACAAAAACAGCATGAGGTTTTACCCTGATAGTGACTCCCTGACAAGCCAGAGTTGGAGAAGCCACTTTAGGGTTTCCAGTTTTACCCTCCCACAGTGCCTGGGTAAATGACAGCCATGGGAGACACCATGGAGAAGGTGTGGGTTAGATATAGATCCCCTGAGAAGTTTAAGCTCAGGCCAGGAAGGATACAGGCCTTGTCCTTCATAGTAAGAAACCAGGCCTGGCAAGTGTGGCTTTCAGAGGTGGCTGGATCTGAAAGTGCTGGCATTAAGACTAGCAGTCTGTCTGAACCCCACCATGTTGCCTACATCCAGCAGAGAACAGTGATCTATCTGATTGTTTTCCCCATCTATCAATGTGAGCAAGAATATACCTCAGCTTGGATAGTTGGCATGGACTAGAGTATGTGGACAAAGAGGTGTCTAGAACAGAGGGGCACCTTGCAAACCCATAGACCATAAAGGTACATAGAGAAAATCATTACTTGCTGGATTCCAAGACTGTAGATTGTGGAAAGAAGCCATTCATTCCAAAAGACAAAGGAACTGGACATAATGGTGCATGCCTGTAATGCTATCACTTGGGAGACTGAGGCAAGGGGATCACCATGAGTTTGAGGCCAACTTGGGCTACACAGTGAGTTCAAGGCCAGCCTGAACTACATAGTGGGAGCCTGTCTCAAAAAACAATGTTTTAAAAAAATTAAAACAAAAAGACTAATTTTTTAACATCGAAAAATTTTCCCCTTCATTGGTTTTTGGGGGATTGGGGTTTGGGATTTGTTTTGTTTTGTGGTACCTGGGATCAAACTCAGGACTTTGCACTTGTGAGGCAGGCACAGCACCACTGAGCTAAATCCCCAGCTGTGGGGTTTGGAGTTTTTTTACTTTTATTTTTTCTCCTTTTAATTCTTTTTTTATTTTGCTGGGGTTTTTTTCTTTTCTTGTTTGTTCTTTTCTGTAACTTTTATCTAATACTGTTAATTTCTTTTTATTTCTCAATAGGATCCTTTATCTTATTTTTCTCTCCTTATCTTCTATTAATTAAATTTTCAAATTCTACTTTCCCCATTCTCTGGTTCCCAGCCCCCTTTATCCTTACTAGTATGATCATTAGGCTTTACAAATCTTTGGATAGTTAACTCTAGGCTTTCACTGTTGAATACTGTTTTTAAGTGGAGATATAGTTATTGGATTTAGAGGTATTTATTGTATATCAATATTTGATTTGTCTTAGTGTTCATATTCAGATTTGATTGCTATTGCCAAGGTGGCATAGTTGTTGCTATTAATTGGTTTTCTATGTATGCCAATATATGGATACCTTTGTGTCATTAACAATACTGAGGCCTATTCCCAGAGAACTAGGTGCTGAGTCAAGCATACTGCAGCCTCCCCTCCCAAATAAATAGAGATAGTTGGATCTTGGGACAAAGGCAAAGACCTACAGTTAGCCTTCCCAGAGAGCATCGGGAAAGCAGACACTAACTTAAGAGGTCACCATATTAGCAACCAAGTCTTATACTATAATCCACCTGCAAGCTTCAACACAAAACAAAACAATAGAAACACGAGAAGACAAAGCCACAGAATGACTCCAAAAGCTCCCAGCTTTCCCAAAGCTAATTCATGGAACATCAGGGGAGGAAATCAAAAGCCAAATTACTCCAAATTACTCCAAAGCTAAATTACTCCAAAGAATGACAGAGAAGATAGAGGAAAAAAAATCAATGAGTGTTTGATGAGCTCAAAGAGCTCTAACCAAACAGATAATGGACTTACTAAAATGATCAGCCAGTTTACAGGAGACACTAATGAAGACACTAATAAAAAGCTAGCTGAGCTAAAAACAACAATTCAAAACATGAACGACCAGTTTAGCAAATAATTAGAGTCCACGAAAAGGTGACAAACAGAAATCTAGGAGATTAAATTTTTTATTGAGAGTATGGGCAGCAGAAGCAACCAATGTGAGGACAGAGTGTCAGAACCAGAAGTTAGGGCTACTTTTAGAGAACAGTTATTCAGAGATATCTTAAAAATAACAAGAGAACATGAAAAATGGATCCAGCAGCTGCTAGATGACACAAAAAAAGGTCAACTGGAATTAGTGAAAAATTAGAATACAGCACAAATGACATAAAAACCCTGTTTATAGAATAATAGCAGAAAACTTTTCAAATATGGGGAAAGACTTTAACATACAAATAAGTGAGGCATATGAACCCCAAATATCCACAATCAGAGAAAAACCTCTCTGACACATAATGAAAATCCCAAAAGTCCAAAACAAGGGTAGAATCTTAGAGAAAGGCAATGGTTATAGAAAAGCAATGAATCACTTATAAAGGTAGACTCATTAGAATTACAGCAGACTTCTCAATACAAAACTTAATAGCCAGAAGAGCTTGGGGTGAGGTATTTTAGGCCCTCAAAGAAAACTAATGTATCCTTCAAAACTTTCTTTCAAAATTGATGGACAAATAAGCTATTTTCATGACAAGAGCATCTTAAAAAATTCATGACCAGGATGCAAGCAAGCAGGCAGGCTGCACAGCACCCCTTACACAAGCAAGGAGGACCACACTGGCTGCACGGCTCAACCATCCAACTCCAAGCCAGCTTTACATTTTGCTTCCCCATGGCATGGGGCAGGAGAGGTCTAGACTAACCAACTGACCTGATCATGGACAAGGATAACACCCAGGAAGAGAAGGTGAAATAGTTTTTGCTGTTAATTAGTTTTCTTAGGATGGTGGTATTTGGATCACCTTGGGGTCATTAAAAATATTGCTGCATTCTACAAAAACTTCAGGGAGGATCTAACACCAATGCTTCTCAAACTCTTTAATGAAAGTGAAAGGGAAGGAATACTCCCAAAGCTATTCCTAGAAGCTAGCATTACCCTGATTGCAAAATCAGACAAGGATTGAACCATACAAGAAAACTACATGGCAACTCTTTAATGAACATAGCCACAAATATCCTCAACAAGGCACAGCCAAACAGAATGCAACAAATCATAAAAAAGTCATAAATCCTGACGAAGGAGGGTTTGTCCTGGGGATGAAGGGATGGTTCAAAAACTACAAATCAATAAATGTCCATAAATAGAGGCAAGAACAAAAATCACGTTAGTATTTCAACAGATAATAGAAAAAAGCCTTTACCAAAACCCCAACATCCATTCATGATAAAAACCGTAAATAAAATAGGTATAGAAGGACCTCACCTCAATCTGATAAAAACCATTTATTACAAACCTACTACCAATATTATATTAAATAGAGGAAAAACTGAGAATTTTCCCTCTAAAATCAGGAACAAGAGAAGCATGTCCATTATCAGCACTCCTGCTCAACATAGTTCTCAAAGCATTACTTAGAGCAATCAGAGAAGAGAAAGAAATCAAAGGGATATAGGAAAGAACATAGGAAAGGACAAAATCAAAGTATCATTATTTGCAGAGGACATGACCTTCTATTGACAAAACTCCAAAAATTCCACCAAAAGACTGCTAGAATTTATAACCAAAGTCAGCAATGTAGCAGGATACAAAGCAACACATAAAAATGATAGCATTTTTATACAGTAATGAACTCACTGAGAAAGAAATAGGAAAACAATAACATTCAGAATAGATCAAGAAAAATTAAATACTTAGTAATTAACCTAATCAAGGAAGTGAAAGAACCTCTACAATGAAAATTACATCACTCTGAAAAAGGAAATTGAGGAAAACATCAGAAAATGGAAAGATATCCCCTGTCTGGATAGGTAGAACCAATATAATAA